AACCATGGTGGACAAATCAATTTATAATCATATCTTTGTGTTAATGAATGATTGAAATTATAAGCAGCTGTACGCTGACAATGTTGTCATATAAGTTTAGTTGCATTTTGAATCATGTGAAATTGCATGCCCTTCCCCACACTGTTGAACAATTCGATAATGTATATATGTAACGTGAACATAAAAAAATTATTAATTTATATACACTTTCAGATACCTTGACAGGAATGCAAAACGCTTACAGGAAAACAAAGTCAAGTATCTGGAGTGAATTTAAATTGCTTCTGCAGATTATATTCTACCTTCCCCCAGCAGAAATATACTACGACGATACTGATGAGATGGATTTTATCATAGTGAAATTCAACGCATGGGAGTATGCCGGGACTGACGTTCTGTGGGCTGGAATAGTTACAAGCCTCGTCAGCAAGATCGAGGGGTACGCTGGCTACTGGAAAACACGTTTTTTTCGAATCGTTGCAAAGCCCGGAGAGGTTCCCAAACATGCCGGACATGGAAAAGTGAAACAAAAATTCCGAAAATCAAAGTTAGTTATCTTTAGCCTTCCCAATGTCATATGGTTTGCCTTATTTGTACTTATTGTCGTAGCTGTCGTCGCCTTAGCGGTCCTCATCGTAATTGGTGAAGTGAGAGTCGATGTACCTTCAAACAAGAGCAATGACACTACAGAGGAGATAACGAAGGGAAGTGCTCAAGACACATTCATTGGCATCGAAACTGCTATTCTTTCAGTTCTTGGAGGAACGGTCATCCTAAATATAAAAAATGTTGGGAGTGCTTTATTGACATTCATCAACTCCCAGAAAAGCAAAATTGAACGTATGGTTAATAAACCCAATTTTTCTCAACAGTTGGGTTTCATGTCCACAATCAAGAAAGAGATACTGATTGTTTCTGCTCTAATAAACTGGATATCAGTGTACAAGAAAAAGCCGATACGTGTAATCATCGCAGTTGATGATCTTGACAGATGTCCTAAAGAAAAAGCCGTCAAAGTTATTGAAGCAATGAATATACTTCTCTCAGATGAATTGTCTGCGTTTATCTGCATCATTGCTGCAGACTCCAGAATTATTGTACAGGCAATTGAAGAGAATCTTGGCAAACTGGCACAGAATGCTTATTTCACTGGTCATGAATTCATGAAAAAATACATACAAGTTGCGTTCTGTATTCCAGTAATGTCCACACGTGCTAAACAAAGATTTCTGAAGCAGTTGAAGAAGGAAGCATCTTCAACTGAGCATGGTGATGCTGAACAATGTGGTAGCGAGACTAAACTCCAAGCATCTGTATCTGACACAATCGAGCTCGAGGTTATCAGTAAAAATCCCACAACACTTATTGATGGAAAGTGCTATATGAATGAATTACTAATGGAGTTTGAGCGAAAGGAAATCATGCAATACCTTGCTGGGAATCCACATCAGATTAAACGCATATTCAACCTTCTCTGCATAACAACACATCTGGTGAAGGTAGCAGGAGGTCCTCAGTTTCCAGCAAGACAAGTCGTACTGTGGATCGTTTTACTGGAACAATGGCCATACAGATCGTCCTATATGATTCACTTTATTGAAGAGTCTTTTCGGGAGCGTGACCTTGGAATTGATGTCAACTCAGAGTGGCTCAAACTCACCACTACACTGAAAGAAATATACCCATATGTAGAAAGTGAACTCAATACACCCAAAAACTGGGAGATGCTGCTTTCACTTGATGGAAACCCTGATTTATTTCAGAGACTCATCAAGACAGAGATGACCACATTCGATGTTAATATCGTAGAGCAAATGATGCCATACACAGTTCATCTTGATAGATCGATTAAATACTCCATCCAACATGCTGATACAGCAGAGGACATCAAATCAAATTCCGATTGATCTAATGCAGAGACATTGAAACAAGGAGGTGAATCGTTTCTATTATAATCAACAAGCTCTTCAAGTAATTAGTTAAGTAAGAAGGTTATTAGTTAGGTAATTAGTTAGGTAAATAAATA